TATGGTAAGTAGTGGTGGCAGTGATATTAGTAGTTGGATGCTTTCTTTTCCTTTTCTTTTTGCCTGATCAGTAGTGATTGCATTATGTTTTAGCACTTCGCTTTGTCTAACTTTGTGAGGAAGAGGATATAGTAATTCAGAACTTAGATGTGCAATTTGGTAATTGGGCTGTTTATTGATGAGATGCTTTGATGCTTTGTTAACTTAGAAATTTTCATTCAATCCTAGAAAGAGGAGCTTGGTATTACAGAATCCAATGGTTGCACATCTCATGCATGAAAACTTTCACTTCTACAACCTGGGCTATAATCATCATTTTTTACTGTAGTAGATGTTATGGTTCCCTGATTCCCTCCTTTTACAGGAGACAACTGATTGTCAATGTATAATTTTATGTCAGAGGAGAATGTCTTCCTCACAATTTGTCCCATACTGGGGTAGGTCTTGAGGCAAATTCATTTACAAACTCCAGTCTAACTTATCTTTCATATGAAGGGAGGCATTCTGGTACCTTTCTGATAAGAGGGGACATAAGTTGAAGCCTTAAGATATGAAAATGAAAGAAGGAATAGAGACTGCATTACATAAATACATTGAGAATAGCATCTTATGCATGAAGCATAACCTTTTTCTTCATGTTGATCCTTCTTTATTGATCTAGAAACTGAAGAGAAGTATGGATTTATCACCATCATAACTTCTTTCTCATTAATATTCTTTCTTTGTTAGGAGGTGCTCATGCAGCAACATGAGGTTGGGGAGCTAACTTGATGGAATCTGCTTACATATACCAATAAGCAATCTAGTATAATCTTCACTTATTCCTGCCTTTGAACTCTTCTTATTCATTTATTTCCTTTTTGTGTTTCTATTTTCCTGGGTTCATGGTGCAGTGAACTTAATTTTGTCTTGATCTCCTCACCATTGACCAAACTATTGGCCCCATCCACCTTCCAAATTGGTTTAATTTCCTGGCCTAGTTTAAGCTTTTCTACCCAGATGCCATGTAAAGAAGCAAGTTTGAATGGATTTCTAATGCAATTCCGTTACTTAGTGAGAGGCTAACGAAGGGAGAAACTTTCAGTTGTACTTGCATATAAGGATCAGCTGCCTTTAAATCTGAACTTCATAATTTTCTGAGTAAACACCTTCCGTTGGCATTGAACTTGCTGCTAATCTCCGAGATTCTAATGAGTTCCTGCCTTCTTTCTTAGATGTGTAAATCCTGGATGGATGTATTTACAAGTAGAATGGAAGTTGTTAAAGCTTTCCTATTTCAGTTGCATCTTTGAGTTTGTGAACAGGTGAGCGATGTGTGTGTGTGTTTTATTGTAAGAAAATGATGGTTTCTTATATTTTCACCTCACCCCTTCTCTAAAAGTAGCACACTATTTAGCTTTGCCTAATCATGGATGTTGAATGTCCATTTAGAAGGGGGCAAGCTGATGCAAATGGGAACATTTCCATACGTGTTGTTATAACTAGAAGCAGATCAACTACATGCTCAGCCCGCATGATACTTAAAAAAGATGTGCTTTATAGCATTAGCACTTAAAATATATAAACTGAGTTGCTTTTAATAAATTAAACTACAAAAGTACAAAAATAAGATGGTGGTGGTTATGGTTATGGGTTACCCCTTTTTCGGTCCCAGGAAAAAAAAAAACGAAAATACATGGTTTGTTCTCCCTCGGACATTTTTATTGGTTTATTATTCAAACCCCCACCTATGCTAGTACCCTTTGAATTGTGGTAGATTACTCCATTTGTTATTGTTTCTAAAAAAAAAGATGAATTTCCACTTATGCTTGGGAATGGGAATTAGCCTTAATAGCAGTTGGTGGCGAAATTTAGGCTGTGTTTGGTTGCAGTGCAATTTTATATGCACTAGTATAGATCTATGGGAGTGTAAATGAAAAAAAATTGCAAATTTTGGTTTACTTTGGTTTATTTTTGTTTGGATTTTACTTCATGTTACCTTGTGTCTTATTTTCATTTTTATTGCAACAAAATAAAGTAAGGTAAAATTTGAAACAAAAATAAATAAAAACTTGCACCCAAATCATTTGCACTACTATAGTTTTGCATCAGTTGCACTGCAACCAAACACAACCTTAAGATTTGAAATAGATATAGCGTGTGAATTTGTTATTAGCAAACTGCTACTCGAAGCATAAACTCTTTCTTATTCTGGAGTCCGGATCTGCTCACACAACCTCACTGACCTCACAGCCTGTCCTGGCCGCACATCAGGAATATCTCCCATAGCTTCATTGACATTGGTCAGTCTTTAGCAAGCGTAACCGTGGTGGTTTTTCCGGTAAATACGCTTATGCATTGGTTGTAGTCCCAATGCTACAAGTTTTTCCTTGAACACCAACACCAAGTGATGTCTGACTCATTTACAGGATTTAACACCGAATGCCAGTGAAGTGCTAATACAACTCATGGCAATGTGGATGGGGCTATTGCTTGGGCTGTGATGGTAAACCCATAAGCTTTACTTTTGAACATGTATCTACATGCAAACGAGACAGGGCAGATGCATATGGCATACAGTTATTAGGTAGCTCTAATTCTATTAATTATGGGGTTTTTATAGATTCATTTTATAAGTAGAGTTGAGAACAATCTATCACAATACAAATAAAGTTACTTTAACACGTGGGGTTTGGGACATACATTTAGAAGAACCAATAAAAATTTCTGAAGAGAACCATAAATTTCCAAAATAAAGGTCTGAAGTCTAAACCCGGAGTGAGAGACTGCAAGTATGACTAAGCATTTATACACAGCCAGGTCCATGCATGTATGACTGATTGTTTAATTTTAGGATTAATTCCTGGCTTCAATGTCTTAGATGTATTACATGGGAGTTATGAGTGATACCAGAGACATGGTTTGTTGCTAAACACCACTCTTTCATTCCCAGTTAAGATTAACATTGCTCACATGGGTACAAGACAAATCCGAAGAGGAAACTGTTACTCTTGCTGTCCTTGAACACAAACACACACACACACACTCTGATGAGTCTGAGAAATAAAGAACTCGACCAATTAATTGTACAACCATGTCCAACATAACCAAGATACTGAATCACAATGAAAATCGAGAGGAATGGTACATCCAGTGACAATTTTAGGACAAGGCCAGTGAACTGGTAATGATTTACCTGCATTGATTTGGAAATATAACATTTTCCTCCCAAGACAAACTATTCTGTGCCTGGGATCCAATTGAAAGTTGATAATAGTGCTTAATGCCCCGGCCAAGCTTCCATTATCAGGGAGAAAGTGCAATGCAATTTCATGCTAAGGTACACATTATTCCCAGCTAAATGCAACCTATGATTAATCATGGTTTATATGTTAATGATCATCTTAATAAATGCTTTCTGACATCTTCCAGACTTGAAGGATGTTGTCCTCAGCTACACTTGATATAACCCAGGGTTCATTTTGATTCCATGAGAAATCCGAAATCTTAGATGTGTGACCGCCGTGAGAAAAGAGAAGCTCAGGAGGCCCATCCTCAGCATCTCCTTCAGACTGCTCGTCTCCAATCCTAAAGGATAAGCACATCACATCATGATTCAGAACAGGAACAATGGCAAATTCGTTTGTTAATAATAAAGAAACAGAGGATAGAAGCATAAAGAAACCCATTATGACATGCAGAACCTAAGACTGACATACAAGTAGCATATGCACATGGTGCGCATGGTAAGACACCTAGGTTATCCAATAATTCTTTTTTTACAGAAGCCTTAGTCAACAAATACTAGCAATTGTGAACAAAGGAGAAAGCCATAGGGCCTTTAAGAAATGCACATCCTCTGGGGACAACAATTGGGCATCCAGGATAAATGAGCCATGGGGCATCGTGCAGAGTAAAGACAGTTTCTAGCATACAATAACTATTTTACATAAGAGTATAAAATTGGACTTTAACTTCTAAGATTAGTATTGGCAAGGAGCACAAGCACCTAAACCCATCCAGCCTGAAAAAAAAGGCTTATGTTCATTTTTCAGTTAGGTTTCTAGTCCCCTAAAACGAGTCCCACAGGCGATAAAGGCATGGAAGTGGAAACACCAAGGGAACTCTTGAAAACCATGCCATTCATTTGCAAGTGATGCATACCTGTTAAGATCCCAAATCATCAACCTCCTGTCATTAGCAGAAGATGCCAAGACAGTTTCATGGTGAGGGCTCCACTCAACCTGGAATACCTCCTCCCTGGAAGAAACAAAATAGTGAGATATGTCCTTTCATATAGTGAGAGTTTGGCACACATAATCAATATTATAATCATCCCATAAAGACTGAAGAGATAACAGCATAAACATTACACCCAAAAGGTATGCAGCAAAGCATCACTAATTAGTGTGCCTTTTTTTCCATCTTTAACCAGGTTCTGATTGTTCTATAAAAACTTCTGAATGATAGTTTAAAATTTAATTAACCAAACAATTTGAAAAAGAGTCATTTTCAAATGCCACACACTTTTAACATATTTTCAAAGTTTTCTAGTAAAGGATAAAAAAAGAATCATCTAACAGCCCTGATAAGAATTACGATATTAAAAATGACTGAGTTTTAAATAGTTGCCTAAGCTACACCCTCCAGACCCATGGATTATCATTTGCAAAACAGTATGACATGGCCAATGTCACAGAAAACATGCATTTAAGCATTTAACCTAATCAAGGAAGGGAAATCCTATGGTTTCCTTTTTCCTATCAATGACTATTGAATTACTATAGAAGTTAAGAAATAATAAAGGGAAGGTCCGGAAAAGGGTAAACCTTAAAAAAAAAGCAACAAATAAAACACATTGTCAAGCCTTTAATGCAACTCTGTTCTTAGCAATCTAAGTCCACCACCTCATTGGCTTGAACTTGGAATTAATACAAATGCAGTGTTTAATATTCAAAGAGATAAGCCTAACCAAGGAACCATTGATTGAAAACATAAGCATAAAGGTGGCCCACTTGGTAAAATTTTAAGATATCTTTTCTCCCATTTCAATTGATGACATATTGAGATGTTAGCAAAGCAATCCAAATTCTTCTACAACAAGGAATTTAGCATCAAGAGTATGGTTGCCCCCTCTCAATTATATTAAACTAATCTTTGATGGGAGTAGCATTGGAAAACCACAAATTTTTACACTGGAGGAGTCTATGAGAATTGTAATAGACACATTGGCTTCAATGTTTTAAAACACAGGCATGACGTGAGACGTTCCACTACCTAGAGGCGTGAGGCGTAGTTCAGAACGCAAGAGGCATAAGCCTCCTTAAGAGGAGGGGGGTTAGGAGGAGGAAGGGGAGGAGGATGAAGAAGAAGGCGTAAGCCTCCTGTGTTTTGGGAGCGCCTGCGCCTCCAGGCGTATGCCTCCCACGCCTTTTAAAACACTGATTGGCTTTATACTCTGGACCTATTGGTATGAGTCACTCAACAAGGGCTGCGCTAGCATTATTACAAGGACTGAAGCTGGGAAGATCTCTATATTATGCAACTCAAAGGTAGTTGTTAAGTGGTTTTAAAACAACAAAATCAGGGCCTTGTCAGTATACACACACCATAAGTAACCAACTAGACAAGTAATAACATCTTATAGTTGGGTTCAAAATTCTCCAACAGCAGATGAGCTAGATAATAAAATAAAATAAATAAAGGCCCACAGGGAACACTTATACTGGGCAGTCATTCCTCAAGCATCTGCTCAATGAATGTAAAAGAATGAAAATGTGATTTTGTACACCATTCTTTCCTTATCTAATAAAATTTTTAGCAGTTTTTGATAAAAAATTTGCAGCATTCAATAAAGAATCCAGTGAGTGAATGACATTCTTTGCTAAGTTAAAGTTTTCAAGGCCATTTCTTAATGCCAAAAGCCAAGTCAATAGCATTGGTTGAACGATTCTTGGTAAACCAAGACTCTAGGCTTAGGTTTTTAAATAGAAAACACCAGGGGCCAAAAAGTGGATAACTTCTAAAAATGGCACCAAGACCAGGGCTCCAGGGTTTTATAAAATAAGACCTTAGTTGAACTTTACAATGTCTATAGGAGGCAAAGAATATTGACACATCCAAATAGATATGTAATAATATATGCATGTAACTGCATGGAACAAGTGAAAGGGGCGTAGGCTTTATATGCTAAGCAACAAAAGGCAGTCTTTTTAAGGACATTCTTGTTAAGTTGGAATTAAGAAGAATGTCATGCCCCAAATTGTTCAGTTGAAACTAAACTGCTTTAAAATTCCATAACAAAACCAAAACCACCAGCATCCCAAAACCAGATCCCATAATTATGAGTCTCATGAAATGGATTTTGTAATCAACACCTTGAAAGTTAAATCATGATCTTGATAATGCTGCACAAACAGGCATTATAGGCCATCTAACATATGTTTCGTGAACAGAAAATTTCCATCATTCAACAGTGGAAAAAAGTGTATGTAATCTAGTAATGCATTTTTAGGGTGTTGGCACCATACAAAAGCCTCTCTACTTGGATGGATGAACATTACTTGTTAAGATTCCTAGACACCATTAACCATTACCATTCTAAGCTTGTGGTTGAAATTATTCTGCATATGCTATTAAATGTATCCATTTCAGTTTTCCCTATCCATATTTGCAAAATTGCCATTTACCCCGTACTTGAGTGAACTATTAATCATTATATGAGAGCTTTCTGGGTTCTGCATGAAAGTTCTATAACCCAAAATTGGTTTGGCAGGGAAAAAAACTCTTTGTTCCTGTGAAGCGATAAAGTGCAAGACTCTGGTAAAACAATCTAATAAGACAAATTTCTACTTTTTTTCTTTCTTTTTTTTTCTGGGGTGTAGGGGTAAGGTCTATCATACACAATGTTGGTTTCCGCCAGAAGAGGAAAAAAAACAAGCAAAAGTAAGGCTGTTCCTCCTAAGAAAAAGGACAATGATAAGCTACACAGCAAAACTGAGCTACTTCTAGGGAGCTCTTCCTCCTAAGAAAGAAGATAAAAGGAAAGGAATTCTTGTAATGTTTTCTACTCTTCCTCAGACTTTCACAGAGATATTTATACTACTGCTCCTCATGCATAACAACCTGTGTCTTCCTGGAGCAGACAAATTTGATAGGGGGGTGGTGCTACACGAGATATCTTTGGTAGACTGCCTGGTTGAACCCTCTGAACCTGAGATGGCTGAATCGGGGTTCTATCAGTCCCACCCTGCTTGGGAACCACCTAGTGTTTTAAAAGCGCAAGGCGCAAAAAAGGCGCAGGGTGAGGTGCACGCCTTTTTGAAGCAAGGCACAAAATTATAAAAAAAATGCTAAAAAATAAAAAAAAAAGTCAGAAATTTCAAAAAAATGCCAAAATTTCAAAAAAAAATAAAAAAATATTAAACATAATATTAATAAAAAATATATACTTATATTTTAAAATAATGTTTTAAAAAACCTATTATCTAAAATTAAAATACATGAACATAAGATGTAAAGCATATTCAAGTGAGAATTTAAAAATAAAATCAAACATATAAAACATTTTCAAGCATTTAAAACCTCTAACCATAGTTTTCAAGGTGCCAAGGTGAGGCTAGGCGATTGAGGGGCGCCTAGGCATCGGCTAAGCAATGGACTTTTTATGTTGAAAAACATAGATCCTAGGATAGTTCTCTAGGTATCATAACCATATTTCTTTGATAATTATTCATGATTTTCATAAGAAAAGTATAAATTTCATATGGTATAGAATATCAACATATTCATGAGAAGAAAAGGAAGAAGGAAAATAAAATTCAAAAAATATAGGGGCTGAACCCTTATTTTTGTTATAGGAAAAGAAGAAAATAAAAAGTATTGGTAGTAGTAGTAGTCGTAGTAGTAGTAGAAGAAGAAGTAGAGGAAGAATATATGGAAGGGGAAAATGTGCTGATTAGATAAAATTTTTAGTTCTTCCGTACTTATTGGTTCAGGTTTTTAAGTCTTTGAGGGTTCAATACAGCATTTAGCAATGTTTGTGTTGATTAAACCCTAATATATAAGAAAATAATAAAAAGAAATTAGTATATAAACACACAAAATGATTATTTTATTTTAATAATGTCTATTTTATAATTATAATATCAAAAAAGAATGAATAAAAAAGTTTTTTTATAGTAGGAAGTAGAAAGTTGTTAGGCGATTAGGCGAGGCAAGCCTCAAAGGTCGCCTTGTTGCCTAGGCGTCGCCTTGACAACTATGCCTCTAATCGTTTTTTTTCACTCAATTGCATTACTTCATGTAGCTAATGTAATGTAAAACATATTACATTCCTAATTCTACGAGCCGCCTTTGTGCCATGCCACTCGAGGCAAGCCCAAACAAGTTCACATTAGGTCTTAAATTCTTAGTCAAAAATAATGATTTTATAGTTTTAATTGCTTTTTAAGAAGACACTTTATTACCCCCAATTTGGTAATGTTGTTCATTCATTCATCCTAATAAAATGCACCTCGCCTGTGCGCCTAAGCACGCCTTAGATGCACCTTTTAAATCACTGGAACCACCTTGTCCTCAAGGTTGAAATTTGGGAACTGAAGCTGAAGTTGGGACACATATTCCTAAGTGGCGTCCTCTAGAGGGAGGTTCTTCCAATTGACCAGAGCTTGCTTGATCAATCTAGCACCTGACTTCACCCACTTGAAGTCACTAATGGAATGGGGTTCTATCATGATGATTCCATCTTCAGGGAACTGGGGTAGACTGGAGCTGACCTTCTCTATTGAAGATAAGCAAGGTTTCAACAAGCTGACATGAAATACAGGGTATAATCTGGAGTCGGGAGGTAGGTCCAGTTGATATGCCACCTGTCCTATCTGCTCAAGCACCTTTAAGGGCCCAAAATACTGGGGTGCCAACTTCTGCCAAGCACACTGAGCTAGAGATGTCTGTCTATATGGCTGGAGTTTAAGGTAAACCAAGTCCCCTACTTGGAACTCCAACTCCCTATGTTTCTGGTTATAATATAACTTCATTCTCTGTTGAGCCTTCTGCAAGTGGAGCTTAAGATCCTTTAACACCTCATCTCTTGAAGTTAACTGTTCTTCCACTTCAACGACAATTGTGGATCCTTTCTCATAAGGCAATACAGCTGGTGGGTCACGCCCATACATGATCCTGAAGGGGGTGGTTCCTGTTGACACTTGGTATGAGGTGTTGTACCAGAATTCGGCCCAGGGCAGCCACAGGGCCCATTGTTTAAGTCTGTCACCAGTGGAGCAGCGTAGGTAAGTCTCCAAACAGCGATTGAGAACCTCAGATTCCGTTTGAGGATGGTAGCTGGTTGTGTGCAACATCTTAACTCCTTGGGTTTGGAAGTAAGCCTACCAAAAGTGGCTCATAAATAGAGGATCTCTCTGTTAGTAACTTAGTATAGTGTTTGGGGTGCCATGTAACTTTGCTATTTCTTGGACATAAGCTCTAGCCACTGCCACTGCTGTATATGGGTGTGGTAGAGCTATGAAATGGGCATATTTGCTCAACCTATCAACCACTACCAGTATTACTGACTTCCCATGAGACTTAGGTGACCTGGTGATGAAGTCCATGGTTATGTCATCCCATACCTTTTCTGGTATCGCTAAGGGCTGAAGCAAACCTGCTGGAACTTGGGTACTATACTTCTGCTGTTGACATGTGGAACATTTAGCAACATACTCCTTGATCATGGATCTCATTCCCTTCCAGTAATAATGTCTGGATACCCACTTGTATGTGCGCAGAACCCCAGAATGACCTCCCATAGCTGAATCATGAAACATATGGAGCAATCCCCCATAATACGCTGATGTATTTGCCACCACTAGTCTTCCCTTGTAAAACAAGGTGGAATCAACCACTGAATACTCAGGGACTGATGCTGGATCTTGCTTCCACTTGGACCTGATTTGTGTGAGGGCTGAATCATGTTGAGCCTCTGCTTTCAACTGTTCTAGAAGCTGGTAGTGAGGTTGAGAAACCCCCAGCAGATGCAGTTCTTCAGCTCTGGAGAGAGTGTCTGCAACAGTGCTAGAGGAACCGAGCTTGTACTCAATGTGGAAGTCATACCCCAATAACTTGTAGGCCCAATTTTGTTGTTCTGGGCTAAGAACTCTCTGGTCCAATAAGTGACGGACTCTTGTGATCAGTTCGAACAGTGAACCTCCTTCCCAATGAATAGGCCCACCATTTCTGAATGGCTAGTGTGATGGCCATGAGCTCCTTCTCATAAGTGGATTTGGACTGAGCTTGAGGTGACAGAGCCTTGCTGAAGTAGGCTATGGGCTGGCCTTGTTGCAACAGCACAGCCCCAATACTGCAGCTTGAAGCATCTGTTTCTACAACAAATTCCATTGAAAAATCAAGTAAAACCAAAGTGGGAGGGGCTATCACTGCCTGTTTGAGGGCCAGGAATGCCTGTTCAGCCTTATCGTCCCACTTGAAAGAGTTTTTCTTCAGCAGCTAAGTTAAGGGGGCAGCCACAACTCCATACCCCTTAATAAACCAGCAGTAGAACCCGGTTAATCCCAAGAAGCCTCGTAAGGCCTTCTAGGAAGTGAGACGAGCCCATTCCAGCATGCAACTAACTTTTTCTGGGTCTGTATACACCTTCCCTCCCGCAATGATATGACCTAGGTAGTGTACCTTGGTCTTCCCAAAGGAGCATTTAGTTGGCTTAGCATAAAGCTGGTGTTCCCGCAAAATGCTTAGGGTGCTGCAAAGATTATCCATGTAAGCTGTCCATGACGGACTGTAAACCAATATATGATCAAAAAAGACCAAAATGAAATAGCGCAAATAAGGTTTAAAGACATTATTCACAAGTCTTTGAAAAGTTGAGGGAGCATTGGTTAAGCCGAATGGCATAACCAAAACTCATACTAACCATCTAAAGTTCCGAATGCTGTTTTGTGAATGTCATGAGGGTATACTCGTATCTGGTGATAACCCAATCTTAAGTCCAGCTTAGAAAAGAATATGGCATGTCCCAGTTCATCAAATAACTCTTTAATAACAGGAATGGGAAACCTGTCTTTCACGGTGATGTGATTTAAAACCCTGTAATCAACACAGTCGCCAAGACCCATCCTTCTTCTTAACTAAAAGGACTGGTGATGAAAATGGACTGTTGCAAGGCTGAATGAATTTCTTTTCTAGCAACTCCTTTACCATCTTCTCTATTTCTAGCCTCTGATAATAGGGTAACAGAATGGTCTTACATTTGTGGGGGCAGCTCCCGGGTGAAGTACAATTTTGTGATCATGAACCCGTTCCGGTGGTAGGGACTTGGGCTCCTGAAAAACATCTGAAAACTCCTGGAGTAGTTGCTGTAGCTGAACTTGTCTAGCAATTGAATCTTCCTTATTATCCTATTTGGTCAACACAGGTTCTGGGCCCATTTGGCCCAAGTCTATGGAAGTGGGAACACCATAATTCTGGCAACATTTCAGTATAGTCTTAGGGGAGTCTACAGAGGTGGCCTTTGGTTCTAACCCTTGGAGCTGATAATGCACTCCTTTAATGGTGAACTCCATGATGAGTCGGTTCCAACCACAAAACATGGGCCCCACTTGTTGGAGCCAAGGGATACCCAAAATAACATCTGTCCCGGAAAACCCTAGAGGGTATAGGTCTGTGTAGAACAAACAGCCCCGTATATGAAGCCAACTTGTTTACAAAGCCCATCACACACGATCTTATGACCATTAGCTACCTGTACTACAAAAGGCCCAGTGGGCTCTACCACCAAGCCCAGTTGCTTTGTTAATTAGGTGGTAATAATGTTCAGTGAGTTGCCACTATCAATCAGAACCACCACACTCTGGCCCGAAATAAAGCCCATTACCCTCACAGTCTTAGGAGTTACAAACCCTATAAGAGCATGTAGGGATATCTCATGGGTTTCTAAGTTGGTTTCCTCAATGGGTGATAGGGGGACCTCCTCCTCATCCTCCCACAGCTGCAATAGGAAAAGTTTTGGGGCTTTGCACCGGTGCCCCGGTCCAAACTTTTCTTCACAGTTGTAACACAAGCCTTTTTCTCACCGGGCCTGCATCTCAACCCACGATGGCTAGCTTTCTTATTGGGTAGGGGTTCTAGCCCATTCATTTGGTTGAGCCAGATTCATCCCAAACTTGGGAAGTCTTAATAACTGAATTGGGTTCCTGTCTCAAGGGCAGTCCGGGGGGTCTTAAGGATCGGGCCGAGAGTCCTGAAAGACTTCTTACTTCTCTTGATCTTCTCTTCGAAGAGTCTGGCCAAACCTACCGCTGCTAATAACAGTCAGAAGTCGCATGGCCTTAACTTCATGCTTGATTTCATCCTTGAGGCCCCCTACAAAACTTCCAACTAAGGCCTTCTCAATCCAGTTCTGAACTCTGGATGCCAACTTCTCAAAATGATTTTGATATTCTCTAACCGTTCCAAACTGTTGGATCTTGGCCAAAGAGATTCATCAAAGTCTTTGTTCCCAGAAGGTCCAAATCGGACATTAAGGGCTTCAGTGAAATCAAGCCAGGTGAGTTGCAAGTGAGACCTCCGGTACCAATGATACCAGAGATTTGCCTCGCTGTCAAGGTGGATAGCCACAATTTGCATCCTCTGGGAGGCAGGTATTTCATGGAATGCAAAGTATTGCTCAGCTTTATTAATCCAAGGTATAGGATCATCACCTGAGAAAACGGGGAAGTTGATCTTGATCGATCTTCCTGAAGGACTTCCATGCAGCCAATGACTGTCTCCACTAGACCCTTCTTGCTCGCTTTCCCTGTTAGCCCTAAAGTGGTCCTCTCAAGCTGTGAGATGAAGGTGGTTATGATTTCCTTCATCTCCTTCACATCGCATCGATCCGATGAAGATGCTCTTCCAGGCGATCGACTCAATCGTCAACAACGTTGGACCTAGTTGATAAGCTACATAGCAAAACTGAGCTACTTCAAAGGAGCTCTTCCTCCTAAGAAAGAAGATAAAAAGAAGGAAAGGAATTCTGGTAATGTTTTCTGCTCTTCCTTAGACTTTCACAGAGATATTTATACTACTGTTCCTCATGCATAACAACCTGATTTACCCGCCGCACATGGGGGGGGGGATTAATTATGCTGACATGTCTTCCTGGAGTAGACAAATTTGATAGGGGGTGCCACGCGAGATATCTTTGGTAGACTACTTGGCTGAACACTTAGAACCTGAGATGGCTGAATCAGGGTTCTATCAGACACTTTATTGGAATTCTAGCATTATATAAAACTAGAGGCAATGGAATATGAAAATCAAGTGATTTTGTGCAAATGACTCCATTATTCTAGTGGAGTCATCTTTCTCTCTAATTGGCATGAGTTGAGAATTAACTGTTTTGGCAAATAATTTAAAAGTTATATCTCAGCTTTAAAAAGAACTTTGATTCAAAGAAAAAAAACACAAGGGAAATTTTTCTAAGAAACATTAATAAATCAGGGAGAAGCATGGGGAGAAATCTTCATTGACTCTAAAACTTTCTGATTATGAAGTTGATGAAATCTGAAAGTACTATAGAATAAGATTTCAAGGTTCAAGAAGGAACCATAAATGAATGAACAAAACCATGCAGACTCTTATAAAACCTCGGAAGATTTATTAATGCTCTTTAATGCCTATCGGCCTACCCAGCTCACCTCACCTGACTAACACACTAGGCCAAAACTTGATGCAATAGGCTAGAAGGAAATTTTGGCAACCAAAAATTAACCACTAAATAAAATATGCATAGATAATGGCATAAAATAATGTATATAAATAGTTGTTGAACTATAAGCTTATGATGAATAGTTACTAAAAACACAATATCCCCTCAATCTACTAAAGAAATAAACTTAGATGATAATATGGCACAGATGATGCAGGAGTTCCATAACAAGTAAAAGAACATACATGTGTGCAGAAAAGCTATGTAATGCTGTTGTTAGCTTCCGCAAATCAAATAGATTAATGGTGGTGTCTGAAGATGCTGTTGCCAGAATCCATTCATTAAATGGATTGAACGATAAATAGTTCACCTGAAAACAAGAAACAGATGTAATCAGGATGAACTCTCTGAAATTTTTGCCTGTAAATAAATGTAAAAGGAACTAGTAAATCTGCAACTCTCTGCATTCCACTTTTTGGATTCATAAAGGAAGCACTCAAAATGTTGAAATAGTAGATTTTATGGCGCTTTTCTGTTGCTTGGATGGAAAATGGAATTGAATGGGCAGGTGTAATGGTGTGTCAGTAATTCCATTATCCACCAATAGGGATGGCAACGAGGTGGATTTGGGGAGGGTTTTGTAGATTATAGACCCTACCCACCTCCCTAAACCTCCCAACGCATACCCAGCCCAAAACCCATAGCGGGTTGAATTTTGAAAATCCAAACCCTCCCCCCTCCCCCCGCACATGAAAATGCAAAACCCTTCTTGACCCTACCCTCCCTGAATTCAAGGGTATGGCTGGTTGGGTTTAGAACCTGAATTTAATTTTCTATTATTTCTTATTATATATAAGCAATAAATAAATAACTAAAATAACACAAAACAACAAAATTTCCAATTATTTGATTAAAACATGTAAAAAACACATAAACTTTCAATTATCTTTCATACAAAATTTAAAATATTATTAAATTCAATACCTAATAGATAAAGTTTATATGCTTTCCAACAATATGCGGGTCGGGAGGGTTGGGTTTAGCCTAATACTGTACTGTACTGTACCCGTCCCCGTATGGGTTGTAGAATCCCAAAACCTGTCCTTCAAGCAAAAAAAACCCACCCCAACGGAATGGGTAGGGGCGGTACCCACCGGGTAGGGTAGAAATTGCCATCCCTATCCACCAAAAAACAAGATTTTGCACAGCATTTCCATTTTTCCCCCCAATTCAAACAAAGCCTCATGGTCTAAATACTGCACAGTTATAATTGCACCAAAGCCGACAGATAGTCTAGTTGTTGAAAGAGTAATAACTAAATACGCCTCTCAAAAGAGTAAAATTCATGTTGTTGTATAAATCAGTATTTAAACACAACAGTTGAACAATAAAATCCGAGTATAAGCACCATATATGCATGCAAACCTGATAAAAATGACAATTGGACATTGCGAAGTGTCCATTTCCCCAACAGATATGCATGAAGAGAATAAAATATAACTAAAAAAACTGAATCAATTTATGCTAACGTAATAGAATGAAACAGTACAGCATGATTTAATCATAAGAGAGTGCAAATTAAAATAATTCAAGGACAGCTTCACCTCTTTCTCATGAGCTAAAAGTGATTGTTGCGGTTTGTTCAACAAAGACGATCTCATATCCCAAATCATCAACCGTCGATCATCCCCTACTGACCCAAATAAATTTTCATTCTTCAAGTGCCATGCAACATCTTCCACCACATCCTCGTGAACCTGAATCATCATTCACCAATTCCCAGTTTAGCATCAACGATGTAGCGAAAAATGTTAGTAATTTTCTCACATTATAATGTAGTAAACTGATGCAGTCAAGACAGAACACAATTACCAAATTACCTCGCATATATGCATCGCCTCAAGCACTTTATCTTTAGGCATTTTAGAGATATCCCACAAGCATATTTTGGAGTCATTTGAACCACTAAGAAGGTAGCCCTCTTTGAAAGGACTCCAAGATAAGCCATAACCTTCTTTAGTGTGACCCCTCAATCGCAAATCAGGATCACACGGACCCCCTTGATGTTTTGCTGGGTGTTTGGTGCAGTTGAAAACATACAAATCGGAACCACTAGTTTTAGCCGCAACAAGAGAGGCATTTTGCGGCATGTGTCGAGCACGATTAACTTCTCCATCAACACGTATCTCTTGTGTAACCTCAACCTGATTATTATAATGAACAGAAAGAAAAAGAAGAAGAAGAACTACCAGGTGATTATTTTCTTTTCATGTTTTCCATCAGTTTGAAATTCTTTCAAACAACTGGTATTCAAATAACTTCAATAAATTGTAATATGCACAGCTGTTTGTTTCTGACCTTGGGGATGGTGAGGCTTTTGGAGGGCTGAGAGTTGTCGATTTCGGAGGAGTTGTCTGGAGGAAGAGGGAGGTGCACGTCGGCGATCATGAGGGAGTTCGGAGCGTCGTCTGATGTGTGGGTCCCGAGGATTAGCTTGTGCACGGCGAAGGATGCGTCTTCGGCGTCGGTTTGGGGCAAAGAAGGGAGCCACTGAACGGTGAGCGATGGCCATACGAGGGCATGAGAGATGACCAGATCGTATAAGAAAGGTGTGTTCTTCTTCCATACAGAAAACTCCTCCGCCACCTGTTCATCTCCCATCTCCTGCTCTTCTCCCATCTCTGTCGCGCTTCTTCTTACTTCTTGCTTCTCTCCCGCCAAAAAAAAAATGAGGTGAATTCGTAGAGAGAACAGACTGACTCACTCCTTTATACAATGCCCGACACGGATTAAACATATGATCCGAGTACTATAGACCAAAGAGGAGGATCCAAAGCGAAATTGTGGCGGGTAGGACCGTGGGAGATGAATGGATGATGCAACTTGGCCAGGTTAGCCTGAAACCAACCAAAAGAGCCGGATGGGTTTGGATGGGGTTGAAGTTTGGGTAAGAGTGGAAAATATGAATTTGACTTTTGAAAAAGTACGGACAGGCTCAATGCTCATTTTTTATTTCCATCGCAGAACTATAAATATTTAAAATGTCAACAATCCATCCATGAATTGGCATTTATTCCCAGCTGACACCTACCCAATAATATTTTAGGCTTACAAATTCTAACCATATGCTGAATCCTCATTCTCAACTTTTTGAGTTGCATTAAGTTTGAGGCTTTGATCCAACCCAAACCTAGCATGTATATATTATGATTTTTGGGTTGCATTAGGTCCAAAAGATGTAGCCAAAATGATTCCTGATTACCACCCCAAAAGTAGCTCGACCTCTTTTGATGTAGCTTCCATCCTGTTGCATCGAAGAAGGGTGAGTTTGGGATTAGACATGATATGGTTAAACACAACGTCATTCCTACTTTTTCAAATGTTTCAAAGAATAATGGCAGTTTGATCCATTAATTCCTCTTTCTACAATTTATCATAGGAACAAAGGTTGATATAGTTTTCAAACCATTTATCAGAGGAGGCAAACTTAGCTGCCTGATCAACTCTGTAGCAGAAAACAAACCCAAACCAAACAGAGATGGCATGACCACAAAGAAATAAAGTATGAATGATTGATTCACTCTCTTTCCCACAAATCTGACAGAGACCTGAGGTGTAAATGCCCTTTTGTAGAGATTTTCACTTATTGCTCTTGCATTCCACAAGCATCTCAATAGAAAAGGTTTAATATTTGGGTCAATTTTAAGGGACCTAGAGGCTGCTACCTTTCATTACCTACAAAACCGAGCTTAGGGTAAGGGTTTCTGATGAGAGTTTCATTACAACTTCTTTGGTCCTGGTTTATCAGTTCTTTGACCCAATCAAGATTAGGGGCATTTGGTCTAGGTGCCATTGTTCTAAAGTTTGAAAACCCTAGAAGCCATTAGTTGTGTTGACTTCCCAACAAGCTTCTTGTTTTACAATTTCCCTCCCAGTTAGGGGGCTCTACCAACCCCAAGATCCTCTAGAATTAAAGTTATCAGAGAGGAAATGTTTGCCCTATATATACTTTGCCTTAATTATTCTAACCCACATATTACTCTCTTCAATGCATAATCTCCAAGCCTGGTTGGATAGGAGAGCCAAGTTAAAATAGTGTGGGTCTCTAAATCCTAGGCCTCCATCATTTTTGTTTCCGCTAATGTTCTTCCATTTGATCCAGATTATTTTCTTTTTTTCTCTCTAAGGATCTCCACCAGAAGCCCCATTGGAGCACATTTGCTTTGGGATGATAAAAGCAAGACATAGAGTAAGCTGGAATGTCTGCTATGACAGATTTTAGGAGAACCTTTTTCACCCTTAAGAAAGAAGCATCTTTCATGCCACCTGGATGTCTTTGGTTCAAATCTATTAGTAAGGTGATTGAACAAGGCCTTCTTGGATTTACCAAAATGAGTTGGTAGACCTAAGTATATAGCAGGTTTCTCCACCTTCTTCATCTTCATGCTCTTGGCCACTAGCTTTTGAAGTCTAGGGTGCATATTATAACAACAAAAAAAATCTTAGATTTTGATAAATTTACATGCTGACTAGAATCTAGGGGTGTCCACAGTTCGGTTAATTAAACCATTGCATTTATTTATAAACCGAACTAGTGGTATCGGTTTTTTCAATTTTTCAAACTGAAACCGAATCGGTACCACCGGTTAACCGGTCCGTCGGTTTCGGTTTTTGATCGATTCACTTTTTTGGTTTTTTATATTTATAATATATATTATACAAATATATGTATAATATTATATAATAAATAATAAATGATATATAATATATTATAAATATTTGAAAAATATATAATATATAATATATTTATAAATAGATCATTATAAATATAATATAAGTATATATTTATATATAACGAATATATATTTATATATAATACATAGAAAATATGTGATATATATTAAAAATATATATTTTTATATATATCGATCGATTCGGTTAACTGCATTTTGCGGTTCAGTTTTATCGATTCAGTTCGGTTTTTCGGTTTTTTATGGACACCCTACTTTTTATATTGCCCAATTGTTTCTGATGGAGGACGATTTGACCCGACCTATGAAACAGTGACACGTGGACACTGACTCAGCATGAGCGACAACTCAACATTGTAGCCTAGTGCAACCAAGTGACGGGCCCATAAAGCAACTCGCTACATTGTAGTTCACAAAAAGAGGAGCTCGCCACAACGTGAGCTCCGAGTTCCTCGAGATACCTTTGAAGGGATACTCCGAGGAAACTTTAGCTCGCGAGCTAAGGGAACTAGCTCGCCCGAGCTCCCAAGCAGACAAGTCATCCCAAGGACCAATTCTATTAAGGGTAATCCTAAAGTATTCCGAGCTCGCTACAAAGTATCTCGCGAATGAGCCGCGAGAGCACTCCTCAGGAAGCTTCTATCTGACAGGCCGTACCGGTCGGACTACGCTACGTCCCTTACTAACGGCGCGGTCCCTGCCCTTTCGATAGTCAGTGCCCACGTCTCTTAGCAGGCGGAGGCTGCCACTTTGGAGACGTGTCACTCACCCGGGCGAAAAGTACGTCACAACGGCCACCTGCGCAGCCCTGGCAGGTAACGGCTGTGGTAGGAGCCTAGTGGCGGTTATGCCCAACCTAACATGAACGCCCCTATAAAAGCCCTTAGGGCAGAAGAGAAACTTCTTCTGGAGACTTCTAATCTCTCGAGTATAGTGATAACGCGCTATCTGCACTCTTAGCCTTCGTCTTCTCCTTGCTTCTCCTATAGAGTACTAACTTAAGCATCGGATTGTTCCTGCCAGGTAAGCCCCCGGGGATTCTTCTTCTTCTTCATCTCAGGTATCATCTAGGAGCCACGTGAGTGCCAGCTAGGAGTGACCGGGTCACACTACATCATTTGGCGCTATCTGTGGGAAAACGCTTCGAAAAGCCTTTCTCTAAACCTTCATAGCTCTTTCTTCCTTAAAAACTTGACACTCATGGCTTCCTCAAGCAACAACGGATGAAGCGTGGAGAGGGATAACTCCAGGGAACAGCCCCAACTTCCTACTGTCTGCATTGGACAGTTCACCGTCTCCCTCTTAGCAGATGGGATCCCTAATTTGAACGTGCCTCTTACAGGGGCACCCGTCGTTGCTCCACTCCCTACTACAGTCGGAGCAACCTTCACCGAACACTCAATTGTGCCCCCAGCGGCCAACCCGAACCAACTTGAGGACTTGGTGCGGTGCATGCGAGCCATGCAGGCCCAAATGCAACAGTTTCAACAGTTCTAGCTCTATCAGCAACAGGTGCTACACCAGGTCTCCTAGTACCAGTATCAACAGCAATTCCCTCAACTGCCTCAACCCCAGCTTCAACAGCCGCAGCTCCCTCCTCGGTGCCGAGCCTCATAGTGAGCTAGGTCTCACCATCAGGAGGAGCACCTTTCTCGCCAAGGAGAGGCCCCCCAGAACCCTCCCAGGAGCCAGGCCTCCTCCCGCGGCAGACAAGAAATACCGACCACTCCAGTCTCACCACGGCAATCAGGTCGAAAGGACCTCAGCTCGCCAAGTCCACGTCACCTCATCCCTCCAAGCCCGATACCCCGTTCCTAGAGAACCGGTTCGAGATTTTGCCCACAGGCTCCAAGCAGGATCCCTCTGTCCGCAGTCATCACCAGCGGCCTGAGCTACTTCCTGCACACACCATCCCTGACAACACAGAGGTGAGCAGCATAAACGTCAAGCCCACCAAGAAGCAGAGATGCCGCCGCCGAGCTTGTCGATCTGCCACCCACGACCTGCACGAGCTTGGAGGCAAAGAAGAAGTAAGCTCGGGCGAAGTTAAGTTTCCCCTCCTTTCAGTTCAATCCCCCTTATCTCCAAAGCTCATGGCAGTCCCAATGCCTAAAGATTTCAAGCTCCCCCTCTTGACAAGTACGACGAGTCGTTCGACCCAAATGATCACGTGGATGCATTCCAGTCGCAGATGCACCTGGCGAGAGCCAGTGAGTCATGCATGTGCGTGGCCTTCTCCACCACTTTCAGAGGAGTAGCCCGACATGGTACCGGAACCTGGCACCCGGATCAGTAAGAAGTTGGGCGCAGTTCGCACAAGCCATCGCGTCCCACTTCGTTACCAGCAAGCGGTGCCTGCGGACTGAAGAAAGCCTCCTCAACATAGTGCAAAGAGAGGAAGAATCCATCCGAAGCTATGTTAAGCGGTTCAACGATGCTTGCATGCAGATACCGCGCCTAGACTCCGCCATGCGCCTCGCAGCAGCCAAGAAAGGCGTGATGCACAAAGAGTTCAAATGGCACATGGTCTTTCACCAACCGGCGACCATGACCGAATTTCTTAAGCTCGCGGACAGGTTTATAGCCACCGAAGAAGAGATCAGCCAAAAGGGCGAGGGCATGCCCAAAAAGAGGAAAAGGGAAGGAGAGCCTTCCAGTCAAGGGGACAGCCAAAAGAAAAAGGATCCAGCTCGGGGAGAAAAGTCGAGTCAGTCGTTCCGAGCTCCTGTAGTGGACCGAACTGATTACACCCCTGCAGATCGCGAACTTCTTGCTGGATGGACCCGCTTGTGAGCTTCTTGCCACACGGGACCCTCCCTACAGATCACAATGTAGCCAGAAGGGTGCAGCGCCAGGCAACCAAATACGTCATAATAGACGAACAGCTATACCGGAGATCCTACACACTCCCCTACCTGCGTTGCTTGCGACCTACCGAAGCCGAGCTCATACTTCGCGACACTCATGAGGGGTTGTGCGGCGGACACTTAGGGGGCAGGGCCTTCGCCCAGAAGGCACTTCGACAGGGGTATTATTGGCCAACAATGAAGGCAGATGCTATTGAGCTCATTAGAAAATGTGACAAATGCCAGAGGCACGTCAATATTCACCACCAACCCGCTGCCGACCTCAAGTATCTCACCAGCCCGTGGCCCTTCGCACA